GTAAATGATGCTTAATCAGGTTAACATTGAAAAAAATACTCAAAATTTGAAGTTGACATTAATCTATTGCACCATTTGGATGATCTGGAAAGCTAGAAACGCAAGTGTTTTGAGGAATGAGAAGCGAGCTACAATGGCGATTGTTGATGATATTAACATGTTTACGTTTAATTGGATTAAGAATAGGTCTAAATTTAATGCTATTAATTGGCATATATGGTGTAATTTTTATTTATCTTGTTTGTCACGTACTTTGTATTGATTTTGCTTAAACTTTTGTTTTCTCTTTAATGAAATGTTTGTTGTTAAAAAAAATGAAAGAAATTTTAATTGGTTTTTAACATATCTGTCAAAGAAATTTTAATGTTTTGAGAAACTAATAACTAAGGTTTCAAGAATTAATAACACATAAAAAAGTCAATTTTAATACCATCACCGTTATCATCACCATCACATTTTCCTTTTTATTATTATTATTATTATTATTATATGTTAGCATGTTTTCTATGGGTCTTTTTTTCTTATATATCAAGTTAGGTTTTTGTTTTTAGTCGCATTAAAAAAATACCAATAAATATGTTTTGAGAATGAATTATTAACCATACATAAAAAATTAACAATTGATTTCTAACTATAGTTATGGTTATTAATATACTTAAAAAAAAAAGTTTATTAAGAAACAAACGTATGCGACTTTTTGAAACAGACTATAAATGCACAAAATAAAATTCTCTACTCTTATCATTCTTTCCGATAGCTTCCATTATACTATAATTTATTTATCATATACAAGTTTTATCATTTATATATTGTAACAAATTCTAAATTAAAATGAATCCATTATTTAAAAATATAATAATTATTCCGTTTTAATTAAAGATCGATATTTTTTTTATTATAAAGCATCGAACTGATGTCACATCTCTAAAAACAGAATGATCTTTTTTTTTTTTTATACTGTTTATACGATCTTTAATAATATATATTTCGTACAACAATAGTTTAATTAATAATTCTAAAATTAAAATGAATCCATTATTTAAAAATATAATACTTATTCCATTTTGATTAAAGATCGAAAATTCTTTTATTATAAAGCAGACTGATGTCACATCTCTAAAAACAGAATCATCTTTTTTTTTTTTTTACTTTATACTGCTTATACGTTCTTTAATAATACTCCGTATATATTTTCGTACAACAATAGTTTAATTAATAATTAAAGTGTAACATTGAGGTGGAAAGTAGCTTGGGTACCATGATTTTGATTTGTCTACCTAAACCTATCACGAGCACAAAGCGTGCCCCACGTTCTTATCCAAGCCACACAAGTTCTTATCAACAAATGTTACATTTATATAATCAACTTAAATCCACAACCTTACTTGTATTTTCTATTTTAATATTCTGAATCGTACAATTACAAAAACACATTATCAAAACAAAACAAAACAAAAGCTAATAAAATAAATCGAAGTTCTATTAAAATTTATATATTTAAATGAAATAAATTAACTTAACCAAGGATAAACCACTTGGTATTTCCAAAAAGTAAAAAGTAAAGGGAAGCGGAGAAAAAAAGTTGGGAAGTAACAAAAGTATAGTCCGCCAACCAAGTAGGAAAGGTTGAAGCTTCCTCCAGACTTCTGGGAAGTGGTGTTGGTGTATGTTTTTCTTTGGTTAATAACTTTTTAATATATTTGGGAACTGGGCCAAAGAGAATGGGATCAGGATTAAACTCAAAAGATTCATGTTCGAACTTTATTTAGTGTGTGAGGCCTGTCTACAACATGGGCTAAAAAAGAAATGAACTCCAATCAATGAATTTGTAAAAAAAAAAAAAAAAAAAAAAAAAAAAAAAAAGAGAGATAGAGAGAGATTGAGAAATTAGGGTAATCAAATAATGTTTTTCAAGAGTTAAACACAAATTAAGAATATTCTAAAAATAGTCCGATAAATATATGTTTTTATTAATTCAAATGATTTCTGTAGATGGCAAATCCAAATGACATGTTTTGGCTGTGAAAATGTCATTTTTGACCATTTTGCATTGCCGTCTACTAATGTCTGCGAAATAGTCATGAAATGTATTTTTTAATACAGTTAAAATTAAGTAGGAAATTCCCGTACTTTAAAATGTGTTGATTTTAGCTATTAAGTTAAAATACAAAAGGGAATCTATGCACATATGTTGATATAAATATTAATTTATTAAGTTATAATATGCAAGTAAAGGTTAAGTGTTATAGTTGATATATTTTATTTTACGTTTGAATTTTATTGCGTATAATATAAAAAGCAATAGTACAAACAAGTGACATAAGTGTTATACACATATATGTATTAGACACAATTTATCGTAAAATGGAATTTGCTCAAGATCCTAAAAAATAGAAGCCGTTAGGGAGGAGGGAGTCGTTCCCTCCCAACCCACTGAACCCACTGCCACATCAGAATATCTCTTTGATTTTTTTTATCTTTCCCAACCCATAACACACGGAAATCCTATCTTTCTCAACCCACTCAACCCACTCAATTAAAAAAATATATTAAACAACTAAAGTAAAATCTTAATTAGCAATAGAGTTACCGCCGGTACTATTCTCTCTTCAGCGTGTTGTTTAATTGGTTTCACTAACCCACTTCATCCTCTCTCTCTCATTTTCTCTTGTACCATGTGTTTTAAGATTTATACCTTAGTTGTTTACTATTTTTTTAATTGAGTGAGTTGAGAAAGATAAGATTTCCGTGTGCTGTAGGTTGGGAAAGATGAAGATTAATCAAAGAGAAAAGATGATATGACAATGGGTTCAGTGGGAACGACTCCCTCCTCCCTTAGGGAGGAGAGAGTCATTCCTTCCCAACCCACTGAACCCACTGCCACATCACTTTTTCTCTTTTATTTTTCTTCATCTTTCCGAACCCACAACACACGGAAATTCTATCTTTTTTAACCCACTCAACCCACTCAATTAAAAAAAAATACAAAACAATCAAATGTAAAATCTTAATTAGGGAGGAGGGAGTCGTTCCCTCCCAACCAACTTGGATCTGGATACCAACTTGGATCGTGATATCACTTTCCGAACTGATATTTCTACTCTATGACTGGGTTACAAGAAATTCAGCCTAGGATAATCCAAGTGGACACTTACGTTTCTAGGCACAGAAAACGTAAGCCAAAATGCTAGAGAATTCTGTGAAAGTATGATGAAAAATGAGAGCTTAAGATCGTAACCCTTCTGTAGAGGAAGAGCTGTTTATATATTAAACAATATTAGGGTTTCATTAGCGTTGGACCGTCATTAGTCGCTTTGGAAGCAAGTAATATTAATCCGAATTTAATGAGGATTTAGGGTTACCAAAACTAACGAGTTTCGTTAGTTTTACCATAATCACCCTCAAGAAATTGAATTTTCCACTATGTTCCCATATATAAAACCCCGCGGGGGTGCTGCCCCTCGACCCCGCCCGCTGACCTGGCAGCGGGACCCCAGCCAGGGGCTCTGCCCCTTGGACCCCGCTAGGGGCGCTGCCCCTAGACCCCGCCAAAGGGGCGCTGCCTCCGGACCCCCGACTAGTCGTCGAACCGGCTTCTAATTCAATCTTATACATGCGTGCACTCCGCACCACCCCGTACATATATTAGAGTACAAATTATAAAGCCCCTTAGCTCACATGTTAGTTCCAGTTACTTAAAATGACGTGATAACACTAAAATCACCAACACTTCATCATGTCTCTCTACTTTCTCTTTCTTATTTTATCTTGTAGCATGTGTTTTAAAACTTGTACCTTAGTTGTTTTGTATTTTTTTTAATTGAGTGGGTTGAGTGGGTTGAAAAAGATAGGATTTTCGTGTGTTGTGAGTTCGGAAAGATGCAGAAAAATAAAAGAGAAAAATTGATGTGGCAGTGGGTTCGGTGGGTTGGGAGGGAACGACTCCCTCCTCCCTTATAAACAAAAGATCATAGTTGATATTTGTGTTGCACTCGTCATACTCATATGATAGTCACACTGGTTGTTCTAAAAACATGGAATGAGAAACACCACAATCTCTTAAGTCACTCTCTCTTGTTGAGGCGACCAGTGACCAAAACAAAACACATAACGACGGGTCTTGGGGTTATGTCGACATTCCTCCAATAGTCGGTGTGATCTAAAAGTACGATGACTTTACTTTAAAGGTTTTCGAAAATTTTCATACTCAAGTCTCTCAAAACTTTTATTAGAAAGTTAGCAAAAAGCTAACATATAATTACAAGGGAATCGGAAAGAATAGGGTTTGAAAAGCACGCAACCCAACTAATAGAAAGTTTTTTATTTCTACAAACAAACCAATTATAAGAGTAATTGATCAAACTATCAATCAACATATTTTTTTTTTATCTTTTGATCACTAAAAATAATACCGTTCCTAAAATTTCAATGCAACCACAACATAATCATGACAATCTCTTCCACCCATAATTAAATTATTATATATTAGATGTATGATGTATCCCCAGAATTTTGGTGCTACTAAAGCACATAGTCTATATTTCTGAAATTCAAAGAGGTTATCATTTCCACGAAACAAAGATGATTTTAAATATTCCATGAGAAATTTGAATTGTCATATAGAAGTTAGTATTGTATGAAGATTACAATTTTATATAAACATATTATATAGCTATCAACTTTGCTTTTCAAATACTCTACCAAACATAGGCCAATTTAATAGTATATCTTTTTGACCGGACATTTATTAAAGCAAACAATGTACAAACAACCAACATTTGTTGCTCAATTTTTATTGACTGTTGCTCAACTTTTATTGACTGTACAAGCTTCCAGGTCCACTATAATAGAATTGGCTACAACTAAGTAACCAAAAACGAAACAAAATAGTGGTTACATGTATAACGTGTACAAATAGCATATAAACTAATTAGACATATATATTGCCTGTCCCAAAGGCTGTATATAAACGAATAAAGTTGACTTTGTCATTTAAGACACTAAAATAAGTTGAGAGACGCCTTTTGAAACTGGCCCCATCTTTGTTCAAGTGTCCCAGTGTAGCCGATCGACATCCTGACCAAACCAGGTGAAATTCCAGCCAACGCCTGCTCCTTTTCATCCAATTCACTGCTTGTGCTATTACCCGAACAAGACATAAGAGTCTCATGGTAGCCCAAGCTAACAGCCATGAGCCCAAATCGGGTGTTGCTTTGCAACCCATTCATCAGCTTGTTGGCCCTTACTTCAGTCTCCATGTCTAAGCACAACATCCCACCATATCCATACTCCTTGTTGAAGATAGCCTTGGCAAGATGGTGATCAGGGTGGTCTTCAAGGCCTGGGTAGATGACCTTGAGTCCCATTTTCTTCATCCTTTGGGCGTATATGAGAGTCCTATGAGAGTGCTCTTTCATCCTAAGACCCAAGTGAGGGATTCTTTGTGATAGCTCGAATGCAACCTTGGCATTCATGGTTGGACCTAGCAACATCAATGTCCCTTGGTGAAGGTCCATCATTGAGTTCACCAAACTTGCAGCACCACATACGGCTCCTGTAAATTAAAAACAATATAAAATGAGGATAATGCATTTCATGCATAATAGATAATACATACACCAAGAGCAATCTTTTTACATCGTGTCACATAATCAACAAAAAAAAGATAATAGCAGCAATATGTCTACCACAATGACACAAACTATCCAAACGTGTGACATAATCAATTCATAATATTTTTATATTTATAAACCCACTATTTAACTTACAATTTTTTTTAAAAAATAATCAAATAAATACATTAACAAGGTGGTAAATTAAAATAATCTAAATATAAATAATTTAATATTAGTATCCTTTTATATATATTCATGAAATGTTTTTAATGATATAATATGTTCGAAAAAGTATATATCTTTCAGCTTATACTTTTATAAATCAAAGCAATACATTTAAATATTAAGAGTAAGAAACAATATAAAAAACAAAGACTAGAACAAATAAGCTATTATGTTGTTAAAATTGGTGTGACTGAAACTTTCAAATTTATAGTTAGCTTTGTGAAATGAAATATAAAACCGTTCGTATTAAATCGAATAACAATAGTATTTAACTGATAACGTTAAAATAAAACTAAATGTATTTTTATGTAATGAAAAAAAAAGTTTTCAAGTATGCAACTCTGTAAGAAATTAGTACATATCTGAATTCTGATGTTATATAAGTGTAATATATTAAAAGTAAGGGTGTAAATTGTAAAAGAGAATATAAGGGGGTGGAACTAAAAAAGTTTAATATAAATAGAAAAAAAAATGGATCCGAATATCTCTGTAATGATAATTAAATGGGTTTAAAATATTGAGTGGTCCATACCAATATACCATATTACATTATTACCAGAACAATTTCATGCCACTGATAAAGTAGGTTGCATGGGAAAGTAGCAATTTCACACTAGGGTTGCATGGGAAAGTAGGTTGCATGGGAAAGTAGCAATTTCAGAGTAAGGGTTGCATGGGAAAGTAGGTTGCACAATACTAAAAAAAAAATAAAAATTTCGAAAAATTTTTGAAACTTTTTTCACGGGGGCCGAAAAAGTCAGGGGTTGCCGTCGCCACCATGGACCCCCTTAGGTCCGCCCCTGACCATGAGCCCAATCATGTTTCAGATACGAATTATGATTTGTTCTGATTAACCGAACTCTAAATAATAATTCATATTATACTTTAGCGGCGCAACTTGTTGTCCGTTTGTCATATACGATGATAACTAAAATATAATTTCAATTTAAATTGACTTTTTCGGTTACAGAAAAATGTGAATTATTTAACTTGGCCTTTGGTTATCGAGAAGAAACTATACTTTAATAAAAACATATTCAACAATTTTTAAGGATAAATTGTTTAAACATATCTTAGTTTTCGTATTTCAATATTTTGGTATGAAATTAATCATCCAAAATATAGACTAGAAGATTTCTTGTGTTTGTTTTTATATATTTTTTAGTTTTTGGCAGTTTTTCTAAAATGCAAGAAATTTGTAGTATTTAAGGGTGCGTTTGGTTGTAGAAAAATTTCCAGTTTTCTAAGAAACTTTTTCAAGAAAAACAGAAATTTTGGAAAAGCGTTTGGTTCGTTCAGTTTTCCAAAGTTTTCTAAGAAAATGAAAATTTTCAGTTTTCCAAATTGTATGTAAATTAGAAAAGTGATTTTTACAGTTTTTCAAAATTCTAAGATGGAAAATGAAAACTCCACCCGTTCCAACCAAATGCGTTTTCATTGAAAATTGAAAATGAAAAGTCAATCCTGTTTTCTGAAAACATTTTCATAGAGAATGAAAACAGTTTTCCACAACCAAACGCACCCTAACTTATCCGTTATATATATATGATACGGTTAATAATATAGCCAGAAAATTGTAAAGAAAGTAAAATTTGGAGTTGCATGAGTGCATGACGTGCATAAGAAAGAGACATGAATATTGTCAAAAGATCGTTTGGAACGTACCAGCAATTATGTCTCCTCCGCCGCTGATATACTTGGAAATACTATGGACTATAACGTCGGCACCCAGCCTCGCCGGAGAAACCACCATCGGAGCGAAGGTATTGTCAACCACCACTGTAACACCCTTCTCATGGGCTATCCTTGAAAGCTCCGGAATGTTGGCCACAGTCAACGTCGGGTTAGACATGGACTCAAAAAACAAAACCTTGGTGTACCCTTCCACGATTGCCTCCTCCACCTTCTTCAAATCCCTTATGTCAACAAACGTCGTTTTTATATTGGATGACCTAGGAAGAAAGTGTGTGAGAAATGCATGTGTCCCACCGTATAACGTCGGAGACGCCACTATGTGCTCCCCGCTGCTCACCAGCTGCAACAGAACCGATGAGATGGCGGACATGCCGCTAGAGGTGCAGTATGCCGCCTCAGTCCCCTCGAGAGCTGCCATCTGACGGCCAAGAGCGAGGACTGTGGGGTTGAAATGGCGGCTGTAGATGAAGAAATCCCGATCAGGGCCTAGCTCTCCGGTGAACATGCGGCTGAGGGTTTCAGGTTCCATGACGGTGAAGGTGGCGGAGGCCTCAATGGACATGTTAACTCCACCATGCTCTCCGAATTCATGTCGAGCATTAGCCAAAGCCGATACAGGGTCTTCAAATGTTGCTGCTGGTAGTTTCTTGGTGATGATATCATCGTCCCTGTTAAAGTCATCGGGAGTCATCCTCTTCTTTGAGGAGGAGGAGGAGGAGGAGGAGAAAACATGGGTGTTTTGAATAGTGCCTGCCATTGACGGAAATTTTGTAGGAAGGGAATTGAAACCAGTTGCAAGAGAGCAGTAGATGAAGGAAATGTAGGAATGAGTGACTGCTTTTATAGGGGCATTTTTAAAAAAAATATATATATATTTTCTGATAAACATGGTTGTTTGGTGTGAAAGGATGGCACATGAGTATATCCATATGTATATTTTGATTCAAGAAATATATGTAGTTTAATGAAAAATACATTTGACTATCTCTATTAAATTAATGTGTTAGCATTCAAGAAACACTCTACGCAAATTCTGTTGAAGAGTTCCTATGGGATGATTAGTTTATTACCATTACCATCTTTTTTAAGTTTTTGATTCACATGTCTTAATAATATTATTATGTAATGATATATTTTTATTCATAATTGACAAATATCACCTTTTTTAATCAAAGCAGCGTTTAAGAATCAAATAATGTAGCTTTTGATTTGTTTTAAATATAAGATTTTTTTTCAATAAATAATTGGATATTAACAATATCAACTAGTCTTGGTATGTATTGCCCCCTAACTAAAAATCAGATCCAGCAGACGAGAAGGAAAATTCCGCACTGCTAATCGACTAATAATATTGTGATTTTTGAAACTCCATGGTCATTGATACAAACAAGCAGAAACGGGATACAACTTTTGATTCTGTAGTTGAGACTCTTTTCATTAGTTTGCCAATATGAACCTTTAATAAACATAATCAAAATATATGTTTTAGACACGTTAGACTTGAATTCTGCTGCTTATCCTATCTTGTTTAAAAAAAGAACATAAAACCTAAGATGCACTTGCATTTGATTAATATTATCTGCTGAATTGTTGCAATATATATAAAAGTTAACACGCAAATTGTGTAATATATATGTTTGTTAATTTTTCATGTTTATATTTGAAGGATTACAAAATTGATGTTGAATAACAACCATGGTTGACTTTATACGAACGAAAGAAAGTAATTGTTTGTTTTGATTGTCTCTTTCAACACATGATTATTACGAAAGAAATAATATCGTGATGTTATAGGCACATGGTTTTTTCATAGACGTCTAGAACCTCTTAAACAATCATTTCGATGTTAAAGCCTTGGGAGTGGTCTCATAGTTTTATCATTAATAAGCTAGGATTTTTATATTTGAATCATGTTTAGTTTATATGAAAGAAATAATTGTTTGTATTGATTCTTTCAACACATGATTATTATGAATGAATAATATCGTGATGTTATAGGCACATGTTTTAAACGTAGACATCTAGAACCTCTTAAACAATCATTTCGATGTTAAAGACTTAGGAGTAGCCTCAAGTTTTAACATTAACCAGCTAGGATTTTTATATTCGATTCATGTTTAGTTATTTGGTTGAAGATCGTCAATAAAGATACTTAATTTCAAATGTATATTTGCTCCATGTGCTTTGTCTATTGGCCATGAAGAGTAACTCAATCACACTAGCATCCAAATAATTAGTTAATTTTTTATATTAAAAATTTCTAGAAACATCAATAAGTTTAATATCTAACAAATATTAAATATACATGTTGAAACTGCAAAAATTGTCTATGTGGTTATCAAAAATATATAGTTTTGGTCTAAAAAGTTTTGGTGGTATATCACTGGTTATATTGTGGATACCTTGTGTGGTTTTGGTCTTTATAATTGATTTTTTTATGTGATTTTGATCCATACCCAACCTGAAACGACCAATATGCCCATAAAATAGTTATTTTAATTTCCTTTTATTTTTTTCATATTTTTTAATTAAAAACCAAAAAAGAAAATCCAATTTCCACTCCCTTCTTAAGTCGCCGTCTTCCCCATCCTAACCTTACCCTAAAACACATCATCATCAACCTTGTTGCACCATCTCAACAATCGAGATATAAACTAATGTGATTATTACCATCTTCACGCTTCATCATCATCTTCATCACATACGAGTGCAATTGGTAGTGAAGGTTAGATCGATTTCCCCAAAATTGGAACCTAAGGCTTGGGTTGAATGCATACTCGATAATGGTAAAGAAGGTTAGATCGATTTCCCTAAAACCGAAGTTTGGCGGCCATGATGATGGTCTAGGGGAAGTCTAGCTTGTCTCGCCTCTCATTCTCCATCTTGTCTTCGTCGTCTTTGTAACATCCAACAACTATGTTTCATATTCGTTTGCACCAAAAGATCTCGAAGAGGAAGGGTGCGACATTTTTTAGATCTTCATCACTATTGAATTGTGGCTTCTATGAGCCTCAATTACCACCTTCCTGCTTTCCATGGGGTTGTTTCCTAAGTTATTCTTGTAATCAAAAGTTTGATTACCTTTTTTATTCCCTAATCTTTTCTCGATTTTGAGTTTCAGACTGATTATTGACTTAAAGAACCTTCCTGTTTTCCATTAGATTTGTCTTGAGGCAAAAATCAAATGCAATTTTTATAAAATTCGATGAAAGCCGACAACAACAATCTAGGTTGAGAAGATAAAGACGAGATGAAGTGGGAGTTGGATGCATCCTACCCGGAGAAGAGGAGTAGACGACAGTGATGTGGTTAGGAAAGGTCACGCCTCCGATGAAGGTGGTTTGGGTAGGTGACGAAGTTGGTGCCGATGGTTTCCGGTGGTGGTTCCAAACGAGAATGGCGGAGTTGGCGTTGGTTTTCGACAAGAATGGCGATTGTGGCTGTAGTTGGCGGCGTTGTCAATGGTTTCGTGTGAAAGAGAGGACAGTGAGAGTGGGATAATTTTTACATTTTATTATTTAAATAATTTAAGTAATATGACAATTAGAAAATATGAAAAAAATAAAGATAAAATTGTAAGAATGGTCCCTATGTTATGTCAAAACTCGCAAGTTTGGCCCAAAAAGGTTTGGACTCGCGCCAGTGGTCCAATTGTTTGGTTTTGTTGCGAGTTTGGTCCGTTTCATAAGTGAAAGTGTGTAAAATGACCTTTTTGCTCTCTCTATTTGGTTTTCCCTTTTCTTTTTATTAATTTTGTATTTTTATAATTAATAATTAAACAAAAAAGAAAAGAAATATAACCCTATCCCACCCAGCTCCATTTTGATGTTTCTCTCCCTCTCTCTCTAAAGCATCACTGGAAAAATTGGAACATCGCCGAAGCTGTCACCACTACTGGAGTCACCACCGCCGGAGATTTGGAACACCGCCAGCTTCGTCTTGATCCTTCTTCGAAGACGCTGACGATCCGCCATCCTCCTTCCCACAAGACTTTGTGGCGGCGCTGAAATCGACCTCATCGACGACGACTTCCTCTCCCTCCTTCTCCGACGACAGTGTCGAATTACGAGTTTGTACTGGAAGACAAAACATATATGTTCACCATACTCATCGGCTTCAAATTCGTGGCTCGATTTTCAGATATGTGGCTCGAGGATCCATCGTATCTCTTTCTTCGCCGGTTTTCCCTTCTTCTCCAACATCGCTACCCTCACCTTTACATCTGGGTTTTTGCGTTCATCAGATTTCGTGTGTGTGTGTGTGTTCATCAGATTTTGTGTGTCTCTGTGTGTGTTCATCAGATTTTGTGTGTGTGTGTGTGTTTATCTGATTTCATGGGTGTGTGTGTTCATCTGATTTCGTGCGTGTATGTATGTTTCATTTGATCTGATTCTCTATGTGTGTGTGTTCATCAGATTTGGTGGAGATGAAGTGGAGAAATAAGTTTAGGTGGAAATGGATGTGGAGGACGGTGGTGGTGGCATACAGTGGTGGTGGCGGACGATGATCGAACGATGGTGGTTGCGGAAGATGTTCGTGAGAGTTATTGAATCTATGAATATGTTCATCAAACACAAACTCAGAGAGAGAGAGAGAGAGAAGGAGAAAGAGAGAGAGATAGGTGAATATTTTCTTTTTTATTTTTATTTTTTTATTTATGTAATAAAATAATTGAAAAAAGGGAAAATACCAAGGGCAAATCTATCATTATAAAAAAGTTTAAAACATTTTGGACCAAACTCGCAACAAAATCAAACTTTTGGACCACTGGCGCGAGTCCAATCTTTTTTGGACCAAACTTACGAGTTGTGACATAACACAAGGACTATTCTTGCAATTTTGTCAAAAATAAGTTATGAGGACATTAAAGTAATTTCAAGTGTGTAGGGACCAAAATAACTAAAAAGATCCAAAATTGGACCACTAATGCACCACCAAACTTTTTGGATCAAAACCACAGTTTTTTGACAACCACATGGACTATTTTTGTAATTTTGTCTAAATATAATTATAAACCTACAAAATTTAAAATATTTCAATTTCAGGATAAATTAATCTACATAGTCGTTACATAACGAACTTTAAGTTGTAATGAAATCATATATACTAATAATTAAACTATAAGTATTATAAAAGACTAAATTGGACAAATGGTCCCTGTGGTTTGGTCAAAATTGTCACTTTGGTCCAAAAACGTTTTGACTAGCACCACAGGTCCAAAGTTTTCATTTTGTTGCGATTTTAGTCAAATTTAATTTAGAAATATTTTAAAATGACGGATTTACCCTTTGTACTTTCTTTTTCTATTTTTTTATTTATTTAAATGTTTTTTCTGATTAAAAGAAAAATTAAAAAGAATATCTCTCTCTCTCTCTCTCTCTCTCTCTCTCTCTCTCTCTCTCCTCTCTCTCTCTCTCTCTCTCTCCCTCTCTCCAGTTTCGTTCCAGTCAAGTACAGCAGCCCCAAACATCCTCGACCCTTACTCTTTCCTCCCCTCATCTCTCACGCGTTGACCTCGCCGGAAGAAATAAACAGAAGCAGCAGGAGTCGCCGGAACGAGCACCATCGGCTGCCACCGTTGTTCTCAGCCCAATCCGTCCTCCCCCTGTCGTGACCTATTGCCACCAAACACCCCAACGTCGCTGCTGCCTTCCACCTGTTGCCTCCGTTCCAGCATCTACCAGCAGCTCCCACCCATGTACAAACCACTTTTGAATTCGATTTGTTCAGATACAAAAAAGGAAAACACCACCGGTT